CCTGCTTTGGCGGCCGTGAACTAAACGATATGATAATATCGTTTTCTGTATCCTCTGCGCTATCCGAAATGTGTAAAAGATTAAATCTTTTAGCGAAAGCCGCTATCGCTTTATTGCATTAAATGGCCAAATATGACCATTGAATTAAATGGCCAATAAAGCAATAGCGGCTTTCGCTAAAAGATTTAAGTTCTTTTACACATTTCGCATGGTGCAGTGGATACAGAAAACGATATTATCATATTGTTTCGTTCACGGCCGCCAAAGAAGGTGGCGCCTTTGTAAGCTAACTACGTTGTAGTGAAGTTTTGGGAGACATTCGTTGTCAATTAACCTCAACCGCCTTTTCATCTACCAGATCAGCTGTTATTTTAGAGGATATATATATATATATCTTCATCATCATTCTCAGCATATTCTATCGATTATGGTGCAACTATTGTCTAAAATTCTCTTTTCTGTGCCATGTTGTACCGGCTTATCATCATAGTCGCATTTTAAATTTGAACGTCTTCTTGGTCTCTTGATGCCGCTTGGATACCACAGTGTAATTCTAGTCGACCACCTATTGTCAGTTCTTCTCGGTAAATGATTTAATTCTATGGATTACATCAGTAATTTTGGTTTTCTGTCTGATCCGTTCTATTTTTTTTCGATCTCTCTTTGTTATACCTAACATACATTGTTCCACTGACATTTAAGTGACTTTAAGTTTCGATGATTCTGAGACCGAGAAATCGATCTCGAAGGAGGATGAACCCTACAGAATGGTCAACGGCATAAGGATGCAGAAGGCAACGGGGAACCACTGCATTAAAGACTCATAGAGTACCCCTAGTAGTAATCATCATGGTAGTCATGCAAAGGAAAAGTACTGATCATGGACATCGGATACCAAGATCCGGCAGAGAAAGAGAAATAGATAAGTACAAGGCTTTCTCGGTCGTAAACCAACAAAACCCTTGTAAAAAGAAAATTACAACCATAAAAATTGCTACATGGAATGTAAGGAGCTTATTCTCTTCGGGAAAATTAGATAACGTCGTGTTGGAAATGGATCGTTTGGGTTTAGACATATTAGGCATGAGCGATACACAATGGCCAGGAAACGACAAATGTCCCACAAATAATCATGGTATGTTTTATTATGCCGGAAGTGACACCAAAACCCATCGATACGGAGTAGGAGTCATGATCTCAAAAAAATGGAAAGATGCTGTAGTAAACTTTACTCCATTCTCAGAGCGCGTGATGTTAATACAATTAAAAGATAAGAAGAACATGATAAACATCATACAAGTGTACGCTCCTACAGCAGACAAAGACGAAGACGAAATAGAACAATTCTATAATATCTTAGAAGAGGTGATGAGAACAACAAAGAGACAACACATTAACATAGTAATGGGCGATCTGAACGCCAAGGTAGGTCAGGGTGAAGTTGGAGAAAATGTCGGTGAATATGGCTTAGGTAATAGAAATGAAAGGAGTGATCGTTTAGTTCAGTTTTGTCAAAGCGAAGATTTAATAATAACTAATACATTCTTTAAACTACCCCCAAGGCGACTATATACGTGGACGTCACCTCAACATACACAAGAAAAAGTGGTCAGAAACCAAATAGATTACATATTGGTGACAAAAAGATACCGTAATGCCGTAAAATCTACTAAAACTTTCCCTGGAGCTGATATCGGTTCGGATCATAATCCAGTAGTATCTGTGATAGAAGCTAGACCAAAGAAAATAAGAAAAGCCATCATTCCAGCATTAGACTTAAGTCAGCTTAAAAATGAACATCTACGACAAACAGTGCGAGAAGAAATAAACACCAGCCTCAGTGTAGCAGAAAGCCAAATCCGCAGAACAGACAACATAGATGAAAAACTTAAGTATATAAATACGATAATAAGAACTACGGGAAAGAAACACCTAACCAAATCTGCAAAGAAACATAAGGTGTGGATGACACCAGACATTCTAGAACTAATGGATGAAAGACGTAAAATGAAGACTAATGCAGAAAAATACAAAGAGGTTGATAAGAACATAAAGCAAAGAATAAGAAATGCCAAAGAATCATGGATTACAGAACAATGTGTAGAAATGGAAAACTATGAAAGAAAGTATGACACGTTCAATATACATAAAAAAGTAAGAGAAATTACAGGAACCCAAAGAAGACGTCAAATAAGTTTGCTTAAGAACAAAGATGGAAAGATTATTATAGATTTAACAGAGAAAATTAATAGATGGAGTGAATACATAAGAGAACTATTTGAGGACAACAGAAATAACATTGTTCTTATATATGGCGAAACGGGACCTGAAATTCTAAAATGTGAAGTAGAAATGGCACTTAAAAATTCCAAAACTGGGAAGGCAAATGGACCGGATGAGGTTCCTACCGAATTGCTAAAGCTCTTGAATGATGAATCAATAGGTATAATATTGCACTTATTTAATACAATATACAATACTGGCATTATACCTCAAGAGTGGCTGTTGTCTACATTCGTTACACTGCCAAAGAAATCTAATGCTAAAGAATGTTCAGAACATCGAACAATATCTTTATTGAGCCACCTACTAAAGATATTTCTAAAAATCATCCACAACCGAGTTTATCAAAAGTTGGAGTCAGATATTAGTAATACACAGATGGGGTTCAGAAAAGGGCTTGGTGCTCGAGAAGCTCTCTTCGGTTTGAATGTTCTCACACAAAGATGCCTAGACGTTAATCAGGAGGTACATACGTGTATTATCGATTTTGAAAAAGCGTTTGACAGAGTACGCCATGATAAGCTTAGAGAGATTCTTGAAAGGAAGGACATAGATAATAAAGATCTGCGAATAATTCTCAATCTATATTGGAATCAGAAAGCTAACATCAAAATAGAAACTGAAACATCACAAGCAATAGAAATACGTAGAGGAGTACGACAGGGTTGCATTTTGTCACCTCTGTTATTTAATGTATATAGTGAAAGCATCTGTCAGGAAGCCCTTTTACAAGCAAACGGAGGAATCGTAATTAATGGAGAGATTGTAAATAATATTCGATACGCGGACGACACTGTACTAGTTGCAAGAACAGTAGAAGAATTACAAAGATTACTTACAGACATAAATATTGCTTGCAACAATTATGGTATAAATATCAATATTAAAAAAACCAAGTATATGGTCTTCAGTAAAAACATCAACCAGCGTATATTAGTATAAACGGCACTCAAGTTGAAAAAGTATCAAACTACAAATACTTGGGAACTTTAATAATCGAAACTGGAGACCAAAACAGTGAAATAAAAAGACGTATCGAAATTGCCAGGGCCACCTTCATAAAGATGAGAAAATTCTTCTGCAACAGAAATATAAGCATCCCTCTACGATTAAGAATGCTGAGAGGCTATGTATTTAACACGCTATTATACGGTGTAGAGGCCTGGACTCTCAAACAGAACAACATGAAAAATATTGAAAGTTTCGAGATGTGGTGCTACCGTCGAATGCTGAAGATTAGTTGGGTTGAAAGAATAACAAACTGTGAAGTAATACGAAGAATAGGAAAAGACCCAGAGATTTTGTTAACGCTAAAGCGAAGAAAACTCGAATATTTTGGTCACCTGATGAGAGGACATAAATACGCATTACTTCAAAATATAATGCAGGGAAAAATAGAAGGAAAACGGAATCCAGGCCGTAGAAGAATGTCATGGTTGCGGAATTTGAGAGAGTGGTTTGGCTGCACCACTAATGAACTCTTTAGGTCAGCCGTAAACAAGGTCAGAATAGCCTTGATGATTTCCAATCTCCGATAGGAGTGGCACAAAAATAAGAAGAAGTTTCGATATTATTTCTTTCTTTAGTGTCCAAGTTTCGCAGCCGTATGTCATGATTGGTAATATACACTGATCGAATGCTTTTTTTTTCAGGTGGATTGGCATCTTCGATTTAAATATAACTGCATTTCTACCAAAATATGCCCAAGCCAGTTTCATTCTTGTGTTGATGTCTGGAAGTAAGCAGCCATTATTATGTATTATTTGTCGCAGGTATACATACTCGACTACTGTCTTAAGTACAGTGCTGTTTATTATTATATTTTGGTCATCAACTAGCTCGTTGTACACGGTTTTTGTTTTTGTCATGTTCATTTTTAATTAAACTTCATTGCTAGCTACATTTAGGTCGCTTATAAGTTCTTGTAGTTCTGCAGGATTATTAGCAATCAGAACGATGTCGTCTGAAAATCTTAGATTGCTGAGGTATTCTCTATCAATGGGTATTCCTTTGTTCTGCCAGTTCACTTTGCTGAATATATTTTCTAGAGTTGCAGTGAAGAGCTTTGGTGATATTGCGTCTTCTTGTCGGACTACTCTGGTAGTGGGAAATTCTGGAGTGTTTTCATAAATTGTTACTTTAGCTTTTGCTTGTCTGTATAAATTTACTAAAATTTCTATGTGCGATTTGTCAATGCTTTGGTTGGTTAAAGCTTCTATTACTGTCTTGGGATATATAGAATTGAAAGCCTTTTCGAAATCTATGAAGGTATACGGCTATGCAGCCTCTAATGCGTTTGTTAATAATCTGTTGTTGATGATCTTTGTGAATATCTTGTATATGATTTGTAGTAGACTTATAGGTCTGTGTTTTTAATATCCTCTTTGCTACTTTTTTTATAAATGAGAATTATGTTTGCTGTATTCCAGTGGTTTTCAAACAGTTTGTTAAATATGCCTGCTAAAATTTTCCAGGTTTTATTCCCTGCGTATTTAAGCAATTCCACTGTTACACTATCTATTCCAGCTGCTTCATCCCTTTTAATTTTTGTAAATGTCGATTCTTCCATAAGGACTTCTGGTACATCTTCTTGGTTACTGATTAATATTATATTATTACTATTATATATGTATAAATAAAATTATACAGAATATAAAAGAAGATATAAAAGTACACAAAAACAGCAGCATTTAATTAAATAATAAAACAAAACTTACTATTAGAGGAATAACGCTTCCTTTTGGAATAAAAGCCACAAAATCTGATTCCGTAACGCTAATGCTAATCCAAGGATGTGTTTTGGTAGGTTTGTAAATAGCTCCACCCCAAAATTCATACCAAACGTCAATGACAGGAGGTAGATAAACATTCATTTTAGTTCTATCTGCAGTCAAAGGGTGCACTACTAACATATTCTTACCCACCATGTACTGCTCATACAGAGAAAAAGTGGTTGTGTTTTCATAGAAATCGTAGAACATAGGTCTAAGTACTGGTTCGTTACTACTAATGAGCCCGTTATAGTAGGCTAGTAACATATTTCTTGTATCTAAGGCAGCTAAAATAGAAAACAATACAAAGTATATTTTTATTTTTATTGCAATAAGAATGTAGATAAGCATATCCGCCTTTGGTGGATTTGAAGTTAAACTGTAGGCTATGGTGAAAATTAGATACTGCACATTCAGAAGAAAAATCATATGTTGTAAATCTTTACATTATTCACACTAAAAATAGTCATTTCTTATAAATATATTTTTTTGGTAATGTAAAAGATATAAAAATGGATGTAATAAATCCAATGCTCATGGGTATGTTACCAATCTTTTACAAAAGCATAAGGTATATTTTGATCTATGTTTTGGAGTAAACTTCCTCTTCATGTAATTATATTACTTGTTCATACATTTGAATAATGCCTTTTACTGAAGCACGATTCAGAATGTAAATATATGTGAGTAGTACTGGTCAAGAAGTTAGGCTGCTACTACGGTCGGGTATACTGTAACTAGGTGTAGTGTAGTAGTCTAAGGTTAAGAATAAATCACTGCCAACTCAGTTAAGCAAGTTACAGACTTTGGCTTATCTAAGTATTACTGGAGCCATGAACACCACATTCGTTTTATTTAGCTTGTCATTCCTCGCATTTTTGTGAATATCGATGTTAGAATTAGAAATATAGGACTACTTTACAATAAACTTGATAGTATATGTTCTTGAACATATTGTGTCGAACACCTAGGATGAACTTGCTAACTAATTATTCTAAAATATACGTGCAGGGATGTCTAACCCCACGGTTGCGGAATACAGCACCATATATTTTTTAAGTAATTATCAAGCAAAGGATATTTCGAAGAAATTAATCAGATCAAAATGAATCACTACTGTAACACAGTACAGTTCAAATGAGGATTTAAAGACAGACTCAAGAATAAAACCAACATACTATTTTTCTTTAAAAATCATTGGGAAACACTGTTCTGTTGATGGCCATAAAGTATCATATGATACTTTAGGTGTGAACTAAATGCAATTTATTACAAGGATCTAATATCAACCCTTAGAGTCAATATTCGATAATTTGCTTACGCTCAAAATAAGCTTTAAATTATATTTTTTTAAAATTTATTGACTAGCCAAATTAAGTTATGTGTCTGAATGTTTATTTTTTACAATTATGTGCTATATTGTTCTTTATTTCAACATGGCTTGGGAAAGATTTTTTTCTGCAGCCGTCCCGAAAATAAAACTTTCGGTATTATTTATTAAATCAAAAGTATCATTTTACACAACTCGTAAGTAGCTACCATTATCTATAGTAGCTACTGTTGGGAGTAAGGTTTTCACTTTCGGGATGATTTTGGGTAGCTAGGTAACGGCTTTGACAATAACATCAACTTTGTATTTTATTATGACAATCCTTGTCATTTAAGATTCGTGTGTTTTCGCTCAGTTTTTTGTTTTTTAATTCCAAGAAATGGAAATCAGCAGTGAATCTGAAGCCGAATAGATTCCAGATGAGATTAGGGAAACTGTTAAGCCGCTATTTATGAATTATTGCCGGTAAAGTCAAGAAAGAGGTATGCAGTGGTCTAAATAGTCCATACAAAAATGGACCATTGATAAAAAGGTACATACTATAAATAAAGAAGCCATTCTTGCATATCTAATGAAAAAATCTAATCCGCTATCCAAAAGTTATTGTTGTCCTTAAAAAATCTATCGGCTACAATCCAAAAAAATCGAAATATTGACTAAAGAAAAACTAGATAAAATTTTTATCATAAGCTGAAGATAATTTTGGCTAATTTTTTTTTTACTTAGTATTTCGCCAACTGCTTGTTGGCATCATCAGAGGTGCAAAACGTTGAACTGTTCACAAAAAAAAAACAAACATTTGTTTTACACTTTCACAATAAGACTGTCTTATTGTGAAAGTGTAAAACAAATATTTTGTCTTGTTTTTTATGAACAGTTCTATCTCTTGCACTTCTCATGGCAACAATAAATATTAAACAAAAAATTTCCTTTATACAACTGATGCAGATTTTAGCTTGGTGAGGCCACGTGATCCTTGAACTTGGTTTACTTCCACTTCTATATCTACGTCGTTCGGTTCTTTCCTAGATATGTACCTACCCAGAACTGCCGAAAATTGGGAGAACAACCCTTTTAGCTTTCTCCTATTTATCTGTGGTAATCGTTGAGTGTTTAACGAATTGACTTAAAATTTCTCAGACTAATTTAGAAACTGGGTGGCAACTGCAATTATTTGATCGAATTTGCCATTGGAATTATCGGATATTATCGTCTCTTTATATATTTTTCTCTTTCTTGATGATCACTAAATAATCATTGACATTAATGAATCTCCCAGAAATTTCTTTAGCAGAAGCAACCAATTCTCTGGCAAAAACCTCGTCATGGCTTTATCACAACAAGTATTTCTTCTTTCACAATTTCCTTCAGCGGCGCTACTATGATCGTCCCAATTCCTAACTGGATCTGAATATCTACATAGATGTTGGTATTTTACCTGTGACAGTCCGCAGTCGCAGCCTCGTTGGTAAAAATTTATTTATAATTGTCGAGACTAAAGGCCGACCCATTTTGGTTTTTCTGACGAGACGTGACGTTTTTCACCATAATTTCAGCACCTTAGATCCAGCACCAGCCAATTTATATTCAAGGGCGACAAGCAAGACATCGACCAGCGTCTTACGAGATAATCAGACTGTTATCTGCATCTCGTGGTCACTAAGACCATCAAGAAATATTTAAATAGCCAATTTTTTCATTATGTCTTTAGGAGTTGTTAGAAAAGCATGTCTCATTTTTTTTTCTCATTTAGTTCTTAACAAAGATATAGACAAAATGATTCTTATTTGTAAATGAAAATGAAAATTTTATTAATCAGTTAGTTTATTAGGTCTATTAGTTATTTTAAGAAGCGGTTGATTTTGAATAATAGTATTGTTCATATAGCTTAGGGAGTTAGGAAAATGGCTGAAGTAGAGTTTTCTGCAAAATTGGATAAAAAGGGCTTATTAAATAATAAAACAAAATACTTACATTGAGCTGTTTGTTGATCATATTTGGCGGATAAATCCCCTGGATTTCTCCAAGGTTTAGGAGCAGATATTCTAAACATTGGCATGGTAGCAGCAATCAAATACCATCTCAAGCAAAGTTTCATTTGAATTGAAGTATCAAACACGTTCGTATCCCCGCAGACAGGTATACTAACCAAATGGTTACCAATTATACTATCGAATAACACGCCCTCCAGATATTTTCTAAGATTAGCCCAAGAAGTGTCTACGTTCTCTATAATCATGGGTTCGACTTGACTGATAGATTTTGTTGCTGATATTATGAATATGTCTTTAGCTTTGGATTGAAAATAATTTTTTAAGGATTTATATTGGGATCCGCCATAGGAATTGTGCTTTTGAATATGAAGTATATTATTGGCAGTTGTGTTCCATTGAATGGTGTATGACATGGCATCTTGTAATGACTAAAACAAAATATATTGAAAAATATAGAATCTATAAATCAATGATTAATCTTCCAAAGAAGTATACCTAAATATTAGTTTTTGAAAACTCATTCACACATCATTAGTTAATTGTGGTATTAATCAAAAGAAAAAAAATAGAAAGTTAGTTTTATACATTTTACGCTTTAAGACCATATTTGGAAATAAGTAATAATATTATCATTAATGATATAAAAAGAGACCTCTTCTTGTGGAAAAGTTAGAGAAAATACTTATACATATATTATTGGGTAGATAGACATTTAACATTACATTATCATTAATAAATAAAATTTATTTAGTCGACGTTTCGATTTCGATTTAACATTTATTTGTCAGCAGAAACGAATGTATATTTAGAAGGATTGTGACGTCAATATTTTTGACTTTGATGCCAGTTATGTCGAAGACGGTTCGAGATTTCAAAATGCCGTTTTCAGATTTTGATTCAGGAGACAAAACTATATATGAATCCATCGATAGCTCGTCCCCAAGTATTGCATAGGCAACAACGCACAACCGAACATACTTTGCGGATGTAAAACGAAAGGTTTTCTTTGAAAATGATAAAAAAACTTTTTACTATTACATATAAGTAATATCGAATTACGAAAAATACGTACTGTAAAACTACATAGGTGCAATGAGTAAAATGGATCACAGTTTGTCATTTTTAAAATATTACATTTTGTTTATGTAATTTCTAATAATTTAGTATCTTTTATTTATCATCGCTACTCATTTCCACCTCAAAAGATCCGCCTTCAACCGGATGGGGGCCTTCTTTAAGAGCCACAACCTCTCTCTTGGTATAAAAGTAAGAATACTGCGATGCTAGGTCTCCTCTCTTCATTTTTATGGTGTTGAATCGTGGACCTTGAACGAAGATATGTGCATAAAATTGGAAGCATTTGAGATGTGGCTATATCGGAGAATACTTAAAATCCCGTGTGTTGCAGTTTCGCAACTGTATATAAACATTTGTAAATATATTAATAGACTTTTTAATAGTTTCGACTCTCCTCGTATATTTAAACTGAGATTTACATATACAATTGCACAGCGGTGTTTAAGGGCCAAAAAGATATAAGACCTAAACATTCCAAGGCGGCCATCTGCGAGATAATAAAGGACGACTTCCACATGCCACATGTGTTTTTAAAGTTAAAATAAGGGTTTGCGTTTGTTACAAAACCAGAGTCGAAATGAATCTCTCAACCGATGCAGATGTGTATGTTGAAGACGAAGGGTACCTGATTTCGCATCGGCCAAGAAAGACGCTAATGTCCATTAAAAACTTGTGTAGTTAAAGTCGGCCGCTGAAGGCGTAATTTGCGATAGCTCTAGTGCTATATTTTCATGGGGTAAGGAACAATACACCATTTATATACGATTTGCTGCATATATCAAGTACGTGCACTTGATATATTTATTTGATATTTGTTGGAGCTTCATCGCATTTGTGCCGCGATCGCAATTCAAATTGGACATTTTGCGTTTGTTCCGGTTTATTTACTATATTCTTATTTTTTTATTTTGTTAACACCGATTTAATTGCTTTTGTGCTTTATATTAATAATTGTAATAATTATTTGTATGCTAACGCATTATTACTTTTTTATACCAATGACATATAAATCCATATTTTTATGTATTTTTTTTTGTAATATGATTAATTTGTTTTTGTATCTTTTATGTATAGTATGTTTGCGGCTATGGTAGGTTTTGTCTTTTGTTTTGGCAGTGGTTTTAATAGAATCGACGTCATTTTTGTTTTGGTCGGTTTATGGTTGTCTTTCGGTGTGTCTGTTGGTGTTTCATAGTAGCTGATAGTTAAGTTTGTATATTCTTCTTTAATTATAATGGTATATGTGGTTATGTATATTTATGTTTAATTTTACACCTTTTTAAAATAGAGTTTTATACAGTCCACTGGCTTTGATTTCTTTTCTTTAGTTGAATATATATACCCAATTCGAAAGGGGGAAACCAGCGAGTTCTGGATTGAACAGAATATCTTCTCTCCCCTTCAGGATGATCTCAATTGTTATATTGAGGTCATCGTATGTGCAGAACGCAACATAATGGTCCTTCGAGCCGGACTTTCTTCTTCTTTTTCTACTTTTTGTGTGATTTTTCATGTCTAGTTGCGGTTTCCTTGTGGTAGGAGCCTTGTCGGTTATGATAACCAGTTAATATGTCGTTGTTTACGGTTTCCTTATGGTAGGGACCTTATCAATTATGATAACCATTTTATTTGTCTTGCTTACGGGTTCCTTATGGTAGGAGCCTAGTTGGTTGTGATAACTATTTGTTGGGGTATTTCTTTTATGTGAAAAGATACCCAGTCGTCTGCCGAAAGACGATACCTAGTCTGCTGAAAGACTATTTCTTTGTCGAGGTTCTCTTATGCTAGAGACCTTATTGCAGTTATCACAATCATAGTATAGTCGGGTATTTCTTTAAACTGAAAAGTTACCCAGTCTGCCGAAAGACATTTGACTTTTTACTTTGTACAAGGTTTATTTATTGTATACCTTTTTTGCGGTTATCATAATTATATAGTCGGGTATTTCTTTTATGTGAAAAGATACCTAGTCGTCTGCCGAAAGACAATACCTGGTCTACCGAAAGACTATTTTTGCTTTACATTCTTTGTTCAAGGTGCTCTTCTGAAAGAGACCTTCTTTTTGCGGTTGCTATAACCATTTATTGTATATTTCTTTTCTATTAAAAGATACCTAGTCTGCCTAAAGACTATTTCTTTTTTTACATTGCTTTCTCGAGGTTCTCTTCTGACAGAGGTCTGTTTTGCGGTTGTTATACCCATTTTACATTACGGTATATCTTTTATACTAAAAGATATCCAGTCGTCTGCAGAAAGACGATTTTCTTCTTTGCATTAATTTTCAAGGTGCTCTTTTTATAGAGACCTTTTTACGGTTTTTATAAACATTTTGTATTGCAACTTCTTTTAAACTGAAAGATAACTAGTCTGCCGAAAGACTATTTCTTTTTATATATACTTTATTCAAGGTGTTCTTATGACAGAGACCTTTTTCAGGTTTTTATACCAATTTTTTGCTGATTTGTTCATACTGCTTGTAGTGGAGTATTTCTTTTGTCTCAATCTGTTGAAAGACATTATTACTTTTTCTTGTTCAGGGTTTTCTTGTGCTAGAGACCTTTTTGCGGTTAGTATAACCATATAGCCATTTACATTGGGGTATTTATTTTGTAAAAAACGATATCCAGTCTGCAGAGACATTTCTTCTTTTGTGTTCGATAAAGTTTGTGAGGGTGGAAAATTATTTTCGGTTATTGCAACCATTTTTTTGTTTAATTTTTCGTGATTGTATGGATATTAGTACATAACAGATTGTAATAGTTTTATGTTGGAATATTTCATTTTCTTGATAATATACCCGGTCTGTGAAGATAGTTGTTTTTTTATTTTGTTTGTGTTGGTCTTATTGTAGAGACCTGCTTTCGACTATTACAAGTATCTCTTTGGTTTGTTTCTGTGAAAAATCCAAGGATTTACAATTACTCTTACTCATCCACAATCTTTTTCTTTTTTGTCTTGTCAGTTTTAAATATTAGCTGCTCTACTTTTGTTTAAACAATGGACACCCTTAAATTCAAGAGACAGTCTGCAAAGAATGCAATTATTCGTCATTGTAATTGGGTTGCAAAGAATGTTTCATTGGCCGATATTGATTCTCTTTTGAAAGTTCGTCGTGAGTATTTACAGGTTGAGTATAATAAATATGAATGCGCACAGGATGCAATCGAAAACATATTGATAGATTCCGCTGAAGATAGCGAGGATCGAAACATTATAGATGATTTGTTTTGTAAGGCAATGGGACTTATAATATGGGAGCCCGTCCCCTCATCCGATACGTATTATAAAGTAGGTAGTGCATCCCATTGTTCTTCTAGGTTACATGTGGGGGAAAGACCTCTCACACTTATTTTAGATTTATGCCATCTACTTAATGTAGTGACTTGTTCTAAAAATCATATGTCAAAAGACTCATCTGTTTCGAAACCTCAACCTTCTTTCGAGACAACCATGTCTCAAATACCTCTTGTGATAACGCCTAGTTCGTCAGGTCAGCTATCCTCGACTTTAACTCATGTAGATACTGTCTCTAAGGCGTTACCTACTAGCCTTATCAGTATTGCATATTCCCTTCCACCTGTTGCAATGGTAAGTGATAGTAAGTCCTACAGGAGTCGTGATGCCCATACAAGCGCGAGATCTTCTACGGAGCTATTTTTTAATGATGTACATCTCTTTGGACCTCAGGTCCATTCTAATATTCAATCCTTGCCCAAGGATTTTTCGCGGAATAATTTCCATAATTTCCAATTTTAAACAATCTAATAACTTAGATTTTGCGACCATAATTGGGTAAAAAGTTCCTAGTGTGGCATTACACCCATCTCTAGATTTAGCATTCGGGGTACATATGTTTAAAATGTACTCATATCTTTCTCGTTTACGCCGAGTAAAGACATTTGTGTCTTGTTTCATCAGAAACGTTAGTAAAAAGCAAGCTGAATTGCTTATTTTTAGGACTTAAAAAGTCTTTCGTTTCCTTCCATTTCCAGCGAGTTCTGGATTGAACAGAATATCTTCTCTCCCCTGCAGGATGATCTCAATTGTTATATTGAGGTCATCGTATGTGCAGAACGCAACACAGTGGACTGACCGAGTTACCAATGAAGAGGTCCTCAGAAGAATGAAGAAGAACCGAGAGGTACTGACCGCCATCGAATCTCGAAAGTTACAGTACTTTGGATACATTATGCAAAATGAATCCAGATATGCCGTTCTAATGGCGAATTATTGAACCTGGTCGCGTGGTGTGCAAGAATGATGACAAAAACTCAGACAACGAAGGGGATTAAAACACTGACAAAAATTCGGTCGTGATGAGTCATTCCGAAGCATTGAAGTAGTTCAAGGCTCTGCTGTGCTACGTTCAAAGTCAAGAAGATACTTGTGCAAGTGACGCGATGCTCTTAAAAAGGATGAGAGACATGGCTTCAAAAAAACGTGTTCGGTGTGTAAAACAGCAGAAAATAACCATTATATAAATTTCAGGCCGTTTACAGCTACATATTTTTAAATGGTCTTGATATCCGTATTTTTTCATATCTGGATCGGTCGGTCACCACATTGATCCGGATGTGGCAGGTTATACTATATATAGTTTAAAAACTTGTGGAAGATGGTAAATCACACATTGTGCACTATGATATCCTTTTTTGTTGTTTTTGTCGCAGGTTCTTACAAGGTAAAGACCTTTAGACCCTTTATTTACATACATATACAGTGCGGAAACCACTTATGGAATAAAATTGTTTTTGTTCTTAATATAGAAAATAATAAAAAACTCTGGGACACCTTAACTTTTAAATGCGCTTTTCAAACATAAATATCAAAGTACACGGTGATCCACGCAAGTTTAGCATAGTCCATAATCCTTATTTTTAATTAAACACCCTGTATATTTTTATGTTTGGAGAATCCTCATTTGTTGCGTGAGACACACACTCAGTATCATCAAAAGTTGAATGTTTGGTCAGATATTATAGGACATCATAGTATTGGTCCTATATTTGTAGATGGTAATTTTTGTAGCGGAAAAATATTTAAGCATGCTAAGAGACGATGTTCTTTCTCAGTTGGCTAACTTATATTAGAATCAATAGATCCGAACCTACCGGATGAAACAGTATGGTTCCAGCAGGACGGTGCAACAACCCATTATGCTTTAATGGTGAGAAATTACTTGAATGAAATCTTCTTAAATACATGGATTGGACGAAGGGGTACTATTGAGTGGCCAGCTAGGTCGCCAAATCTTACGCCTTTGGATTTTTTCTGTGGGGTTATCTCAAGAACAAAGTATATTCAACACAACTAACTAGCATTGAAGACCTCAAAGAAAGGATAACTACAGAAATACAGAATATTTCACCTCAAACTCAAACAAAGTTCGGGACGAGTTTTATAGGAGACTGTGTTATTGCCAACAATAAGGTGGAGAACATTTTGAGCATCTATTTTAATGTAATCCAATCAATTACCTCGGGTATTCTATGAATTAATTGTCTTAGAAAATTACACTTAATTTCAAAATTTCACCTTGTATTATTCATAATAGACCCTACATGATATAGTTCGTTGAGATCGGTTGTTAAGGAGTTTTTAAAAACATAAAAATATACAGGGGGTTTCATTTAAAATACAGATTATGGACTATGCCAGACTTGCCTGAATCACCCTGTATATTTAAGTTTATCTTTGAGAAGCGCACATTAGAATTTAAAAGTTAACGTGTCCCAGAGTTTTTTATTATTTTTTATAATAAGGACACAAACAATTTTATTCCATAAGTGGTTTCCACACTTTATAATGATCAACATATCACCTCACTACAATCATAGTATCATAAGGAAAAGATGAAGACAGACAGCACATTGGATGTAAGCAGTAAACTTCATATTGGCGATATCTATATTATTGTTTTAACAAAACAAACTCTTTACTGGGCCTGAGAATGAAGCAAATATTGTAAGCCTCGAAACCGATCGCTTCTGTAACACTTTGAAAGTAAATATTAGATGAGTGAGTATTGACCTTTTTAATATATCTGTTCAATTACGGACTCACACTTGCAATCCTCTTATCATCATAATAGATAATTATTATAATAGAGTCAAAATAATACCAAATTTACACCTGTTTGATAGAAAACACCTTAAAAATGTTCATAGTTCTAAGTTTATTTAAATAACACTATAATTATAAACCAACACTATAATTTTACCAACTATTACATAGAGGTATTAAAAGTAAAAATTATATTTATATAATTAAATTCAAGAGACATAAATGTGATTCGTAAGGATTGCTGAATGCATATCTGTGTTAAAACTGCAAATTAAGCGTTTTTGTTTAGAGGTGTAGATTGTCGTTACTTGTGAGTTTCTACTTGTAATTTTTGATACGCTTTTGTATATAATCAGTTACAATATAAGCGATTTTGTAACAAGTAGATACCTCTTCAGCATCTCTAGAGATTGTGAGTGAATTGATCACGCGTTAATATTGTTTATTTTCTACTTTTCTGTTAGGCGAATATAATATAGGGTAAAATTATTGAATAATAAACAATGGTATTTATATGAAAGTAACAATGGTTAAAAAAAATGATTTACTTTAATTAAAATGAAACTCAACCAACGCAACAATATTTCAGTATTTAAGCTAAAACTTCTTTTCTAAAAACTTCAAATAATCATCAAAACAAACACGCCTTCTTTAACTTAAATTGGCCTCCGAATAAACCTAAAGATTTTAATAACTCGAGAACTAAGTGGCGTTGGTCGCTGGAGAATACCTCTGTCCCCTTCAGAGGTTGAGTATAAAGTGACTCTCTACACTTTTGACTTCCGTTAGTTTTAAGCTAAGTGGAAATTACAGATAAGCAGTTTGACCAATTGATAAACAAACATAGCTTTTTTCCCAAAAGATACTTAGATATCAAAGGATTATCAGTTTTATTTACAATCAAAATCTCATGTTACATTATATGTCTTTGTGTCGAAGTAACTAAAGTACACCCCTAAAATGTTAAGTACCTACTGTATAAAGGTCTACTTTAAACAGCAATTTTTTCGATACCTCGATAGATATATTTATAGCAGGTCTTGATATTTATGGTAAATAGACATATATAAAAAAGACATAATTGTAATAAAAATTATACTTACTTTGGTAAAGTATGGAAAACTAACATCGTCCATTTTAAATTCTTCATTCGCTGGCCAATTATCGGTTAAAACCAAACCATCGATAGTTTTATTGAAGAAATCTTCTAAAAATGTACCGAATACTTCCATATATTTTTGAATATTGTCATGACTGTAGTCTATATAAAAAACGTCCTGATCTAAATATTTTCCCTGATAAATTGTTTTATTAAGATACGTATATAGAAGATCAAGGCTGCTAGCTGAGTTATAAAAATCTGTGTTATTCAATATCTAAAATCAGAATAAAGCAAATATGATACGCAAGTTGTATATAATCATTATTAATAAATTTTTGGGTAACTGATTAAGGTACTTGTTTATTGTTTGACCGATATAGACACAAACAAGCCAACTGCTTCAATCCAGAATTCGATCTCACAAATATGACAAGAACAACGTCACTGCGCTCGCAAAACATGAAAGCGGGAAGAAGCAAAAATTTGATTTTGAAAACATCAAAATTTTAAAAACAGAACAAAACAAAAAGAAGAGGGAGATATACGAATCAATAGAAATAAAAAGAAATACGAACGCAATAAATGACAAAAAAGATACACAAAACCTAAATAAAATATATTTCAATCTGATTTAAATAATAATAATATAACACCATAAAAAGCTCTTAAAGTCATAACATATCTCCCTTTACCTTTTTCAAAAATATTAATGATACGCCCATATAAAAAATATTATTAATGACAGTAAACCATGAGATATCAGATATCAACTTTAATTTGTCAGTTCGTTAATGTCTGCCCCGTTTTACTTTTTGGATCATATATATATATATACGACTTACTCTGACTGACTGCAACCCTAATAAACTGTGTTGTTTGTTTATATCGACAGTAAGTAATATTCCAGTATTTCTTATATATATATATATATATATATATATATATATATATATATTACATATATATATATATATTACATATATATTACAATATATCTGTTTGTTCTTATACATGTACATTTTAGAACCTTGACAAAGGCAAGGGTTTCCTGCCGAAACGTCGGTTGCTATGGAAAATAAAATCTAGTTCCATATGTAATATATATTTATTGACCTTTAACCCAAGAAACACTAATTTTATATTAAATATAATACGGTTATAGTATAGTATATATATGGAAATATAGATAGAATATAGAAAGAAAATATGGAAGATATACAAATTCTTATAGAAATTATTAACACACAAGCAAAAAGGTGGGACTAAAAACGAATAAGATAAAACAAAATACATGGTAATCTCGAAAACTCCTGTTAACAACATAATATGTCTGACATTGGAGGGTAAACCTTTAAAGAGGGTCGACAAGTATAAATACCTCGGAGCAATTATAAACTTACAGTTAGATCAAGATGAGGAGATAAAGCTCCAAACTGAAATAGCTCCAAAAGGATTTATAACATTCAAGTCAATATTTACTAATAAGAAATTGGGTATAATTAACAGATTAAGGTTCGTGGAATGTTATGTATGGTCGCAAATGCTGTATGGGATAGAAGCTTGGACTCTGAAAGCCCAATCCGTAAAAAAATTGAAGAAATGTGGCTATAGAGGAGTATACTTAAAATTTCTTTGACTGCAAAAGTCAAACACTTTATCTTGCAAGGAAGAGGGAAAAAAAGGCTTGGGAAGAAAGAAGAAATCTTGGTTGAGCAATATCAGAGATTTGATTAACCTCAGTGTTGAACAGATATTTCAAGTTGCAAATAAGTGTTCAAGGAGGTGATTACCAATATTTGTTAGAAGACGGCACAATAAGAATATATATATAATATATTATATATATATATATATAATATATATATATATATATATATATATATATATATATATATTAAAAGGAATACGACCGTTCAAATTTAAATACACAATGTGAGTAAGATTAAAATCTCACTATAAATAGGATATCGGTCAAGGAGAAATAAAAAATGAAAAAACTATTTCAATCTCTTAATAGAAAACGTTTCGTGCAGTACTTCTGCACTTCTTCAGTTCTCATGATTGTGAAGTCATATATAGATGTCAAACAATGTCAAATGCATATGTTGCGATGTTATACAATACATTAAATAAATACAATAAAAGTTATGTTAAAAAAATTAACATTCAGAATTTTAATTAAAATTTATACACACATTGAAAAGTTATAAAATGTCACAATGTATTAACAAGAACAGTATAATATAATACAACACTTCTATTCTATCGCTGTTATAAAATATATCGAAACATGAAGCCAGGAGAAAAAGTACCTTGTTTTTATTGAGCTCAGTGTACAATTTGAAAAATCTATTTTTGTTGAAAAAAGTATGGAAGTTAACTTTATTGTTCGATACACCAAAGTAATTAAAAGAAAAAAAGGAACTATTCCGAAAAGACAAACCAAAATTAAAATAGCTTTGGAAATCAGTCTCTGTATGAAAAATTAACTGATGGACAAAATTACTTATTTACAGGACAGAATAGAAAAGTCAATTTGTTTAAAATCTAATTATAAGAGGGTTGGTAATAAATGTAATGACGACCATTGCTGGGGAACCATGTGGTTTCTTTTGGAAAGGATTTTACATCGAAGTGTGATGTATGAAGATTGCTAAAGTTCTCGTTGAAAAAAAATCTTTTTTTTTTAATAATAATGCAATATGGCATAAGTGTTTGTTCTAATTATATATATATATATATATATATATATATATATATATATATATATATGCTTAACATAGTTTTACATTTTGTTAGGTTGTTTATATTTTGGAAGTACAGTAGCCATTATCCATTTTTATTTTGGTTTTTGCAGCAGATCTGCCAATGTAGTTTACTTTAAAATTTTAAAATTTTAAAACTTTTTGGTTTTGCAATTTATATAGTTTTCCAAAGTGCTTTGTTGGTTGTGCGTGTTGAGCATTCGTTGGTTTTTTGGAAGAGCGTTTGGCCAATTTTAAAGGCCTTGAAGATGGTTATAGAAGAATTGACTGCTGTATTTGTTCCTTCAATTGGAAGATTCTATTTTTTTTATTTGTTGATGTTTTTTATATGGTGTGGAAAATATGTATCCGCTACTTTTTGGTGCAAATATTTTTTGTAATTGAAATTTCTGTGAACTGAAATACATTTCTAACAAGTATGTCAATGTCTGCGTAATGGTCGTTTCTGTATTGACGAATAATTTTAAAAGCCATTAAAATAATGTCAATTATATTTGCATCTAAGCATTAAACAGGTCCTAGTTTATTAGCTACAGGCCATAACGAATTTCATTATAAAATTTCTATTTTAGTTTGTATTTTATTAGCCATAGGTAAACCAAAAGTACACTTTAAAAAAATATGTTTATAAATTCATCTGTGCAAGTTCAAGTAAAGGAAATTGAGCTTTCAGACGGTTTTCATTATGTAGTGTACCTATATATTACTTCAAACATATTCAACATATACTTCAAACATGTGCTGCACCACACAACAGAATTAGGAAGCTTTACCAAATTACTAGACGACTAACAAAAAATGGGTCCAACTGTTCGAATATTGTAAGATCCAAGACAGGCGAATTACTTACTACATCAGATGACCAAGTAGAGAGATGGAAAGAGCATTTTCAGGAGATGCTAGGTATTCCCAGAGATAACGCAGATGAAATTGTCGAAAACCCGCAGTCTATAGACTTGCATATTTTTTTTGAGGCCCCTTTCAAAACGGAGATAATAACAGCTATCAAATCTCTGAGAAACAACAAGTCAATGGGAATCGATAACATTGCTGCTGAAATACTTAAAGCTGATCCGCATCCAACTGCTAAACTTTTGCTCCACACAATCCGAGAGGTGTGGGAAACGAACCACATTTCAGCGGGCTGGAAAAAAGGTAACATTATCAAACTTCCAAAAAAAAGGCAACCTTATACTGTGCAAAAATTGGAGAGGAATAACCTTGCTTACTGTCATAAATAGAATTTTCACGACCATCATACTGAAAAGATTAAAAGATTAACAAACAAGGTTAAGTTTCGAGCTAATCAAGCAGGCTTTAGACCAGAATCCTCATGCATAGACCACATTAATACTGTGAGGGTAATAATAGAACAATCGGTTGAATGGAACACACCCCTATACACGGTTTTTGTTGATTTTGAACGTACCTTTGACAGCTAGTCTCATGCTGCTATATGGAAAATTTTAGAGCTAAGAAACATCCCGCAAAACATTATTTTTTATTATAAAGTCACTATATACTAATGCGAAATGCAGCGTGACACACAATGGGATCAATAGTGACGAATTCGACGTGCTTTCGTTCGAGTTAGACAGGGATGCGTGCTTTCTCCGTTTCTTTTTAACATAGCTATAGACTATGTTCTCTCCAAACTAGACTCCGACAAAAGAGGGATACAATGGACGTTAACCACAAGCCTAAGCGATCTAGAATACGCGGACGATATCTGCCTATTAGGTCAGAGGTTCCAAGATCTGGCTTACCAATTGGAAACACTTTCCACTGAAGCCAATAAAATAGGTTTGAAAATCAATATTAGTAAAACCAAGTCCATGAGAATAAATGCAAGGAACAACAGGCTATTTACCATCGACAATATGCAGATTGAAAATGTGGAAAACTTTACGTATCTTGGAAGTGTCATAACAGAAAACGGAGGTACAGAAGACGATATTCGTATGAGGATACGAAAAGCCCAACAAGCTTTCAGCACGCTCAACCCTGTTTCGAGATCTGGCGAGTATACCACAAGGACAAAGATCCAAATATTCCGATCAAATGTCATGTCTGTTCTACTCTACGGATATGAAACCTGGTAAGTGACAAACACCCTCACAGACAAACTGCAGGTCTTTGTTAACAAATGTCTAAGAATAATTGTCCGTATATTCTGGTCTAACACCATCAGAAACGAAGATCTGCTACACCTGACCGAACAAAAGAGGGTACAAAATGAAACTAAGTCCAGAAGGTGGGGTTGGATCGGTCACACACTCCGAAAAAATAGTTCCAGTATCGCAAAGACTGCTCTAGAGTGGAATCCCCAAGGGAAAAAAAAGAGGTCGCCCAGTACAAACTTGGAGAAGATCCATCATGGACAAGATAAGAGGTCAAGAAAAGTCTTGGAATGAGGTGAAGGCCTTAGCGCAAAATAGAACCCGGTGGCGTGTTTTCACTGAAGCTCTATGCTCCACTTAGGAGTTCAAGAACCTTATATATGTATATG